CTCATTTTGCAGTATTATTAAGAAGCACCCAGTTATCTTTGGTAAACTCAAATAAATTAAAATTAAGAATACTTGTTCATCAAAGAATTCATTGAAAAAATAAAAATCTATTAAAATTAAAGATAATTTTCTCACATTAAGTTAACACTAAAATATTATAGTCATAAATAAATCATACAAAAGAAGAAATAAACAAATGATCTAATATGAAAGTGGGCAATCATGGGTTCTCACGAAAGAGAAAATACATAGCTAACAGATGAACGACGTGATACTCAACCATAGTTACCATGAATGCAAGCCAAGATCAAAACTAGGCACCATTTTTATGCTCATTTAAGTTACAAAAATCAAGAAATCTGATACTACCAAGTGTTGGAGAAAACACATATCCAGATATTCACATATATATTGCTTATAATTGCATAATTAGAATAATCCTTTTAAAAACACAATATATTCTAGCTATTTCAGTCCTCAGTAGTGTATCATCAAGTAAAACTCTTGGGTACACCAGGAAACATGAATAAGAATATTTATCTCTACAGTAGTTATAACAGGAACATCCCTGAAAACAATTCAAAAATGCATGAGTACTAGAAAAATAAGAGTATATTAATACCATGGGAGTTTAATATAGTATTTAAAGTACATAGATTATTACAATGTGAAATAACATGGATGTATCTTAATATTATAACTCTCAGTTAAAAATTCTATAAATGCTAAAATAATCAAACATACCTTTTAAAGGAATATATAGAGCCATTTAGTAAGCTCGTCTCACTAAACAGTAAAGTAACCATCACACAATATTTAAATTAGCCTTTAACTCAGAGGGTAAGAAGCAGAAACCAGAAGAGTACAAAACCAACATATGTAGATATGTTACTACAAGGTTTTACTTTGTGTAGTTTCATGGGTGTTCATTAGGTCATCACAAATACATAAATACATAGGTAAGTAAAGGAATAAGTATATGACTCAATACATAAAATGAAGACAGCCCATGCAGTCAACCAGTGACAAAAGTTTATCTTGATTCATTATGCTCCAAAGGTGGAGAAAAGTAAATGGAAAAGAATGTACAAGAAGCTTCTGTTTATCTGCTTTCTTCCCCTTAAAAAATAACCAGGGTAGATTTGATTAAACAGGTTTCGACACATGTATTAAAGTCAAAGTATTTAAACTAAACTAATACTCAGTTATATAAAACAAAGAAGAGGAGGAGAAAAGGAAGAGGAGGAAGAAGAAAAGAAACAATAAATCTTTATCATATCTATGGAACAGGTTATTGAATATAGAAATGGTTGTCAACCCATGCTTTCTGTTATTCAGCAAATATAATTGAATGCCTGTTATATCTGAGGCAGCAAACTTAATTTTTCATGGAGTTTACCTGACAGTGTGAGGAGAGGGATGATATATTTAGTACATATGTAAAATATTTTTCTACCTACTACATACATATGCATAGTTGATACATATGTAAAAATACGATTTTGTCCAACTCTGTTCATGTGGATGGCCTTAAAGATTTCCTGAGGTCTATAACATGACTGTGACAGGTAACAGGACAAGGGCTATCAAGCTTGCTAATAAAATTAAGATTTGTTGCCCACTGATCAACAGAGAGATCAGCTAGGGTTATTATACACATAAAACCGCTGCAATCACGAGGCTTCTTTAAATACGAGAGTGGAAGAGGGTGGTGGAAGAGTCGGCATTGATCAGACAGGACCTGAGAAAGACTTCTCCACCCTTATCACTTGCTTTGAATATGAAAAGAGGCCATGAGTCCAGAATTCAAGGTAGCCTATAGAATGGAAGAGACAAAAAAACAGACTGTCTCCAGAATTTCTGAAAAGAATCTGCCATTAACCCAAAGTTAGTCTGGTGAAACTTGTTTTAGACTTTTGAACTTGAGAATGGGGACATAATAAGTTTATGTTGTTTTAAACCATCAAGTGCACACATGTGTACATGCACATGATTATAGGCACGTGTGTTTTGGGTATCAGTGTTAGCTAGAGTTGGAAGCTATTTAAAAAATCAAGCTGCTTAAAGAGTAATGATAGGGCTATTTTAAACGGGATGGTCAGAGATGAGGTGGTGTTCTACAAAAGAAAATTTTGTTAGTGCCACCAGCAAATACAAAGTTCTCCCACTCTTTGTCCAGTCAGACAAGAGCCTGGCTTATCTTCAGAACAACAAAAGATCAATGTAGATGGAGGAAAATGAGTCAGAAGGAAAACTTTTGGATACAGTGTTGGTGGTTACATTTGGGGGTGTTTACTCCAAAAGGGTGTGGGAATGACAGCAGAAAGGGAGAACTTTTATTTATGCACTCTTTACTATTTTTATTTTGAAGAAATAATGTGTTACTTTGCCCCTTTAAACAATGCATTGCCATACAAAGGAGTAAGTATTTGGAAGAGTAAAATTAGCAAGTGTAAAGGAGACTACAGCATATGCTGGAGGGTTCTCTGGATCATAGTTGATACAATAACAAAGACAGAAAATTGAGCCAGTGTTGGGAGCCGCGTCTGTGATAGCTCGCCTTGCGCGGCGGACGTGCGGCCTGTGGTAAAGAGCAAAGCCTGAGGTAGATTACCCCTCCCATCGAATATGTTAGTTTCCTGCTTACCGCGTAAACAACCCGCTCAACAATATAGTCTGCCTGGCAACTGATGATGTTAGCCAATCAGCTTGCCTTGCTTACTTTAACATGATTGGACACTGTACCCGTATATATACCGGTGCCACCCCTGGGCGGAAGAAGAAGCCAGGTAGAAGCCCAGAAGTAAAAGCCCAAAAGGAGCCGCGGAGAGCGGACCGGTAGAGGCTTTGGGGCAGACTGAAGCACAAAAGGAGCCGCGGGGAGCGGACCAGAGGAGGCTTCAGCTGGGAGAACCCAGGGCAGGCTGTACGGAGAAGGAAAATAAAAAGAAAAGGTTGTCCACTACCAGACTTTGTCGTGTGTCCTTCCTGCCGGCCGGGAGCGGACATCGACAAGCCAGTAAGAATCAAAGTATGTTATTACTTCAATGTTTTCAGTATCTATTTTCACCTTATGTTTTGTGATTTAACCAAAGGCCTTCCTACTGAGATATATCCCCAGCCCCCTTTTTAAATGTTTTAAGTAGAATTTCATTAGACTGTCCAAACTGGAAGGGATTAGCAACCATCCTGCCTCAGCAACTCAAAGTTCTGGGATTACAGAGATGAGGCATCACATTTAGTTCTGTTTTCATTTTCGTACATTTCTACCTGCTGAGTCTGTGCAGCAGTCAGTAAAAACATGTATATTTGTGTATATGCATGTGTATGAACAATTATAAAATCTCATAGTTGCTAGATATTTAGTGATTTGATCTGAAGGTAGCTGTTTAGATGTACAGAATGAAGAAGACCAGTAGATAGTCTACATTTAAATCTTTGCTATTCACACCACTTAAGCAGAGCTAATGTTACAAAAATCGAGTTACTTTAGCAATGTGGAAAAGAGGGGAGAGCAGGGAGTTTGAAACTGGGCTGTCTTGGCTAAGACTTTGCTCCAATATTTACCAACTTTCCAACTAGGGCCAGTCATTTGCCCTGTGTATACTTAATGCTTTTTTCATCTGAAATGAATATATAACCACACAAGACTCGTAGAATTTTGATAAAGTATAATTTCATTAACAGAAATAAAACACAAGACCAAGTTTAGCAGTTAAAAGCTTACTAAAGCTTAGCTGCTATTGTTATTTTTTCTCTTCTCATCTCCTTTGGGCCCCAGAGAATGTATTTTACATACTCTTTGCTAAAGCCCAACTCTTGCCACCCCCTCAAAATATGCTATATAATAATAGGTCACTCTGAAAATCGTATTTGCTCTGGCCAATTCGTTACCACTTTGCTATGCATGTATAAGTGGAATCTCTGTAATACTCAGCATTTATTCCTGGATAACAGAATGTAACTCAACTGAATCATTCAGAATCTTTTCCCGTGACTATCATTCTGCTTCAACGCTGTTCAAATATTTCATCAGGACAGACTTTATCAGGAATTTCCAAAAACAAACAGTTTATGTTCCTTGAACAAAGTTAATTAGGACTTTATACAACATAGCTGTGGTCCAATTGACTATGGTCTCTGAAGATTTATTCATCGAGATAAGATCACAATTTCAACTAAGTGAAAAGTTTAAAAGGTAAAAAGGTGGTTGTAACTGATTGCTTGATTTCCTTGAGACTTTCTTAGTGGAATTTAAAGGCATTTTCCTAGATTCAAAGTCAGCCACTTTAGGCAAATTTCTTAACTTCCTTGAGTCTTGGTTTCTTCATTCTGCCCTGTGCTTGCCACATATTTTTCTTATTTAGTATTTCTTATTTTTTCGTATTTAGTATACAATTTAAAGCTCCTATAGTTTTGTAACAAAAGAAAGCAGAATTATTCTTACCAACTTGTAAATGGGAAGATTAAATAGCTTTCTTAAATCAACTAGGTCCTTAGGTCCAAGATTTTTGATTACTGTAGATTTCATTTTTGTTACTCATTAGCTTTTTTTATATTAATTACGTTTCAGAATGAAAAATGCTGTTCTCCAAGAACAGAATATTTAAAAAGGTCAACATTGCAAAGTGATACATAAGACATTAGTCTTCTGGGTTTAGAGACTACTTACTTCTAAGAATATTTTGTGCGTATTATATATTACAACAAAATCTTTTATTTTAATCACATTTCCATCATGAACCAACAAAATCAAGATTTTTCTAATTTTTTGGTATCAATGAACATGAAGCCATCAGAAAAACCATCAAAGAAAGACCTTCGTCAGATTTAAAGACATTTATATCAAGATATGGATCATCTTACTAATATTTGAATTTAGGCTTCAATTGAAAATTCAGATTTAAAATATGTTCTTTTTATAACAATTGAATCCCTTTTCTAACAATAAGAGAATCCCATTCACTTATTTTAGTTTGGAATCATGACAATCATCCCACCTTGAGTGAATCACAGCATTTAGCTTTCTTTTGCTCTGAAGTTTTTGCCTCTGTTGGTTTATTCAAGTGTTGAGATTCATCCATGATTGGAGTATAAAGACAGTATTCTCAGTTATCGTAGATGGGTGGTTTGAATTGTTCACCTACAAGTAAGGAAAAGCATAACTTATTTTACTTAAACAATATGCAATTTAGAAACAAAAAAACCTCTAAGTTAAATACCAACCAAGCAGTTAATCACTAGCTTGCTATGTCTCCACTACTCTGCTAGGTAAATGCTGGACACAAAACAGAACAACCTCACATTATTCTATTATTAATAAAATTATAATTTAATTATAAATTTAATTTAATTATTTTATTATTTAATTTAATTATAAATTATAATTTAATTAGGAATACATTTATGGGCAGAAATTTGAAACAAGAAGTAAATTTAATAAGATCACATTCTATAGTAACAAAAACTTTAAGTTACAAAAATTAAGATTCGGGGCTGGGGATTTAGCTCAGTGGCATAAGCACCTGCTTTGCAAGCAGGTGGTCATGAGTTCAATCCCTGGTACCAATAAAAAGTTAAAAAAAAAAAAAAAGAGAGAGAGCAAACAAAAATTGAGATTCTATGTTTTCTGCATGTTGACATTGCATGGTTTATAAGGTCAATGTATGTTTTATTTATCTTTATAGCTTTACAAAGCACCCAACAATGGTTTACACATAACAACTACTGAAAATGAAGACACCTACAAGGTCATGAAATGAATTGGATGGTATCAGATAGATTTCTAGAGGAGATACCTGTGGAATCAGACTCACGATGTAGGAGAAAATTCTGAGATATTTAAAAGCACAGAATGTTCTATAAGTACCTCTCAGACAGACTAGCCATGTTTGACTTTCCATTATTATGGTCTTGCTTTAATTTTGTTCATTTATATTTTAAAGAAAATATATGCACATGAGTGAAAATGCAAAAGATCAGAAAACACAAACATTCTTCAGCTTGCCTCTTCATTCAAAAATATGATGTACGTTTTTAAAATATATTTTTTCTTTGTGATACAAATTTTGGCCTATTAGTGACTGTCCTCCAATTTATTAACCTGCTGTGCACACTTAACTTTACATCAATAAAGGGCCTCTTTATTTTTCTTACAGTTGCAAGGTATTACCTTGCTTATAATATATGTAAAACTAGAACTATGTTAACGGGAAATTGTATAAAAAATTATAACGAGATACACTACATCCTTGTTCCAAAGACCAGTATAATGAATTAAATCCTTTTAATTCACTTTCTTATGGATAATGTGTTTTTCACCAAGGTTTAGAAAATGTATTCCTATTCTTATATATGTAGACAATATATATTTTTGTATTTTTAAAAGTCTACATAGGAGCATAAATATATATAATATATTTAATAACATTCTAGTTATATGATTAATATATTACATGTACATTGATCTCTACTATTTGAGGTAGTTAGATGCTATAATTTCTTGAATTAGGATATATCAAACCACTGTTCCAAGTGAAAATGTAGAGTTAAATTGCTGACAGTCTCTGGCTATGACATTTTAATCCATTTATTAATCCATTTTTTCTAGTGAAGAGGAAAATTTGCTATTACAAAATCTGCAAGTGAGGGTCAACTAAATAATTGGCATTAATTACTGAAGAAAGAGGCATTGATTCTCTATATTATGAAGTTTAAAGAGTATAAATGTATAATGCATATTTGATAGTGAGTCAAAAACAAAATAAAAAAAATTAGAAGATATTACCACCTATGCAAGTGAGTATATAAAAACACCCGAATAAATCTGTGTCTATGTACAATTCAGGGATCTCCAATTATTTTAGAGTGGTGCCTGTACCTGAGTATGCTCCCTTCCTGTGGGGTGCAGAGTGAGGAGATAATCACTATTCTTGTGAAGCAGCCTTTTGACACGATGCCTGCAAGATTTTCCCAAGAATATGTCTTCGGTATGATTTCTCCCAGAATTAATATATTAGGAAATCATTTTCTTCCCTCTTCATCCTATTTTTGCAGATCTTTGAATGGCTGGCCAGGAGGAGAACTTCCCTTTACCTTTAGACTCTCTTTCTACCAAAGTAAACATTCCTGAAAGCTTGAAGACTATTGTATCACCATTGCTGACACTGTTTACATTTCGAAGGATTCACTTCTAGTTGTTGTGTCCTGGCCTCTTATCTAACCTATAGTTATCTAACCTCAGATTCTTTAGAAGAGTCTTACCACACACACACACACACACACACACACACACACACACACTCATTCTTCCTCTCTGAAGATCTTCACAACCTCAGCCAAGTTCTCATTTTAAATTCACTTTTTAAAAATACGTTCATAAAATCATTACACATGGAACCACTACATCAACATGAATTCTCTCTCTCTACCCTCCGGGATGTTTCTCCACAACTTGTGATGTTGTGTTGTACTTTGCTTCTTCGCTCGTCTCCCAAAAAGCCCACTTGAATTAACCTCTCCCATACTGATGTTCCATAGAAGAAAACATCTATCTCCACATCACTTTTGTCTAATTGGCCTGCCTTGGCTAAAAAGGCTGCTCTTCCACACCCCTCTCCTGTATCTTGGGATAAAATGGAAATTTGTTGTCATTTGTCACAAAGATTAAGCTGTAGAAAGTAGCGGATAAAAAAGGAAGTAGGAAGTAAGAGTATCAGTAAAGCTGAATGACTATCATGCATCATGCTTTATGACAGCATTTTTAGCATGATTTGGAAGCCTTTAACCTGTTTTCCTCTGAACCTATTTTTTCTCACAATTCAAAATGTCTGAGATAGTAGCGAAATTTTGGACATAGCACACATGTATGAGACAAGACCGCAGACACTGGGTTCTAGCCTGGCAATTCTTCCATGAGAAGGACCTGGTCCTTCCCAGGAGTCCAAGGCAGAATCTTACCTGGCTCCACTTACCTATGTCAAGCTTTCGCTATTTCAGGGGTGACAGAGAAGCAGTCTCCCTGTGTGGCTCATTGCTAGCATGCGCTTGTGCAGATGAGCAGGTAAAGAGCACTTAGACCTTCACAAGGACAATAGCATTTTATGAACTTGGCCACTTTCTTGATTTGAAAATGGAAAGTTGCATTTCTGAGCCCTCAGTTTGAGCCAAGAACTGTGCTGACCAGTGGTTTTCCTCACTTAATTGGAGAGAAAACTATCCAGAAAATGTTTTCTCCTTCACTGAGTCAAGCGTCATTGAAATCAGGGGAGTAGAGGTAACCAAGTAAGTTTGGCACAAGTTCTGTTTCTCCATGCTTCCCTTCTAATTCCCACTTTCCATTACTCAATTAAGAAACAAGGCATCTACTCTAATAATTCTATGGAGTTGCTTACTGTCCTGAAGCATAATTCAAGAAAGCATCCAGAGATTCACATTTTCAGACTTACAGCTTCTCTATTTACAAAGTAGAAACAGAACTTCAGACTATTCTTAAATTTTAAGTGTCTGACCTTCTATAATTTAGGACCTCATAAGCCTAAAGCATATCTGTCTCCAAAAGGGATAGATCTGGAGAACTTTAGAACACATGTGTAAAGAATACACTAAACATAAAATCTGTGATATGTATCATGACCATTAAAACATTTTCCCTTTGCAATTTGTACCTTAGAGAGAAGATATGTTGAATTAGACAATGTCACAGGTTCTTACCTGAACACTGAATCCCACAACAGCAATAATAGATCCAGCTTTGATCTGTTGACCAAGCGTCCTTAAATTGTTAGGTGGCTTTTTAAAAAAAATCAATCCAGTGATGATTAACCATGTCGGGTCATTACCCTAAGCAAACAGAAGACAATTATCTAGCTGCTTCTAGTTTACTATAAACCTGCATACTTTAACATTTAGATACATAAGTTCTCAGAACTTATACAATATCATATACTAATGTTATTTTTCAAGTCCCTGTTTCTGAAAATGACTTTCATATTTTATTCAGTTAGATTGGATGTATCCAGATATTTTCTTTAGATATATAAATAGAAAATATGATCCAAACTTTTTGAAAACTTTCCCCCCAAAAAAAAACCCAAAGAATCCAAAATAATTTTTCTAAAGGTCTACAGGTTACATTAATATTTACAAGATAAAAATGTACTCTTTTCGTCTGGTGCTGGGTTAGGGTTCTAATATGATGTGGATACTGGATGATACCAGATGTTCCCCATGGAATAGTAAATTGCCCATTAACCATCATGGGCAATTTTGCTAAATGACAAAATCTACATAGCATGATAGATTTTGTTTACGTAAACCCTGAAAAAAGTAAGGTCACATAGTTTCTTTCAAGCAAATGTGATACTGGTTTTAGAAAATAGAAGAGCCTGATTAGTCACAAACGTTTTAAACAGGGATAAAGTATAATTAAGTTAATAACTCAAATATTTTTTAACTTTCTACTATACCTCTAGCATAGTGCTCTGTTTTGAAAGTCTACTAATGTAAATAATTATTTTTTAAAAACCTTCCTTTACATACGTTTAAGCACATATGTGTACATATAGACAAAAAGTCAGACAGCTAGAAATACAGATGCATACATGAAAGTACTATTGCTTATCACTCTTGCAGGAAAGTAGTTGATATAGCTTTATCAAAATACCAGTCCAGCCCCATACTCAGGATATTCTCATTCAGTAGAACTGAGATACCATTTTTGTAATAAGTTAACTTACAGTGCTAGACTTTGAGGGCACCATAGCAAAGATCTGAAACATTTTCCATCATTTTTTTTTTTTTTTGTACAGGGGATTGAACTCATAAGCTGGTGCCTGCTGGGTAGATGATTATGCCGCTGAGCTAAATCCCCAACCCTTCCCTAACTTTTACGGACTTTCATTTAGAGTAAAACACAGGGCTGGGGATTTAGCTCAGCGGCATAAGCACCTGCCTTGCAAGCAGGCAGTCGTGAGTTCGATTCCTGGTACCGATAAAAACGAAAAAGACCAAAAAAAAAAAAATCTTATAGAGTAAAACGCAGTGTGTGTTCTCATGCTGCAAGTTTCCACAGATATTCATTCCATCCCGGGCACAGTGACTTGTTGCAGATGAAGATATGTTTAGAATAAAGAAAACAATACAAATGAATTGATAGCCTTATAATTTCTAAGTAACACTGTTAAAGATTCAATGTTATATTGTTTTTAGAGGTGAAAGGCATTTCCCTCCTGTTTCTTTCTTCCTCTTTAAATAATTATACAATTCTCCTCATATGACTTATGGACAAATAAGAGTGGTCCAAGAAAAGACATTGCAATAGGTCTTTAAAAGTTAATATTATGCTCATAGCCGTAGATCAGTAGAATTGAGTAATCTTCCTAAAAGCCTATTAATATTTACTTAAGAAGTAACAACAGTTTTGATGAAATAACATGGTCTCTGAAATTAGTCTCCTCCAATTTAGTCTCTGCTATTTGTTGTACAGATGACTTGATGATCTCCAACCTTTCTGAACTTCAAATCCACAGTTATAATGGGATACCTCAATACTTGAGGGCAGGCTCTGGTTTATTTTACGTGTCTTACATCATACTTACAGATTCAGTACGTAATTAGATTCCTTGTATGACATTCGTGTATTATAAATTTCAGACCAGTCAATTTATGTTAAATGAATAAAAGCAAAACATCTGACACTTGTGCTCAGCAGTCTCTTTCTTTTTTTATTTAAAGAAAAACAAAACAAAACAGAAAATGGGCAGAAATAGTACATACTTTCAAAGAAAAAAACAGTAATAAATCATGAGTTAGTGTTTACATATTGTCCCCCCACAAATAGTTGTTCAAGATACAAAAGTGGAATATATAAATGGGAATTCAACCAGGGAGATTGCAAACAGTTCTATTCAACTACCCAACGAAAACTAAGTAACATGGCTATCAATCCTATACACTTAGACATTTACACATTTATTTATCCATATCTTCATTTATCTTGAGACCAAACAAAATTTAGCAGATTAAAATCATTCTGAACAAAGCTTAATAGCATTGCTGGATTTCACATTATGACACTCCAGAATTAGCACCTGGGTACTGCAGTGCCCCTCTCTTTCCTTCAAAGTATTTGTTCATTTCATCATGTGTCATAAGATCAGTTCTCATAAACTGCTCAGCAGTTTCTTGGGACAGTTTTCTGTTCCAGCATTCTCAGGTGCTGTGGCTCAGGTGGCGCCTTCAGGGTCACACAGGAAAGCTGTCACTGCCTGCCTGTCACGCCTCCTTTGGCTGCATTCCAGAGAGACTCCAGAAAACTATGCACTCCTAGAAAGAATCCCCCTGCCTCTGCCTCCCTCTGTGCTTCACTCAGAGCCCTCCATCATTATGACCTTAAGATTATTGCAGCAAACATCTGTCTCCTATAATTCACTACTGAAAATTTAAAGTAGGGAGTCCCTGATCACTAATAATATCTGTGTATTTCCCCCATAACTGCATATTCCTACTCTTCTCCCTCATCTTCTTAAGGACTAATCCAATATGAAATCCCCTTTACCAGTAGGCTTTTTCAGAATTTTTTTGATTTATCTGTTAAACTGGCTCCTCAGCGTGCCCTTTCCCTGAAGACTGTATCTACTTATCCTGCAGATACAATAGGCAGGAGCCACCTTATGCTTCCCAGATACTGCACCGGACCACGTAGACTTTTTTCTTTCCAATTTGTTTCACTTTGATGGGTCTTATTCTTTTTCCCAGTCTCTCTCCCTAGGAATCCCCTCAGAGTCTCAGGTCAAAACCCTTCATTCCATCCTCCTCCACCCCCAAATTTCCTTCATCCCTTATGAGAACTACTTGCTGGAATCATCTAGCAACCCCTTTATCCTTCCCACTAATTTAATGAAAGTTTTAACATTTGACTCAAAATCTAATTCTTAACATACTCTCCTTTTGTAATTATTGGTGACTTCAATGATTTCTCTCTTTGAAGAGAAATCTTCTAATTCATTGATTTTTTGGTTTTTATTT